TCCATGAGCAGTGTTACAAATTCATTGATGGCTCCGTTCTTATTGAGAGTTCCATCTGCATTGTAAACTGGAATAGGTCTCGGTATCTTCCTTGTCTCATATCTTTTGTCTTTAACAAATTGGGAGTCGATGCAACTCCCCGTGCATCCACTATCCAATAGTGCTTCGACTGTTTCTGCTTGGAGAGTATCTAGCGTAGTAAGCTTACATTTTACGTTCATTTGATTGCCTTGGGTGCCCCTGATGTACTTTTTTGGGGAGGCAATTTCTATGATTGCTTGTATCGCTTCTACTTTTGGTAACCGGTTGATTTCTTTTATCGTTTCCCGGGTTACTTCTCTCGCTCTCTTTTTATGTGTCCAGGCACTCAGAATCCCAATGGATCTTTCTTCCTTTTGGTCTCTTAGCCTGTTTACTACCCACTCTGGGGTCCAAACTTCTGTTCTAGGTTTTTTTAAAGGGGTTCCTGACCTTTCTTCTACAGTCTCTGCTGCGTTTTCCTCCGTAGAGTTCGCCGCATCGGGTGTAGGAATCTTAGTATCTATCGTAAATGCTGCGCTTTCTAGCGATTTGCCCGCCGTCGGAACTGCGGATGTCTCATCACTCTGCGCCGCTTTTACTCTAGTTGCATCTTTTTTGTTTCGGATTTCTTTCTTTGTCTGGGTGGAAATAGTTTTATTGTCATCCGCGCTAAAGCTGCAGCTTAACAATTCTGAGTCATACGTATCTACAGTTAAAGGAAGAAATCGATTCGAAACGTCTTTAGGCTCAGTCGGTCGATGCGGTACCGCTGGCCTTTTTAAAAACCCTCTAGGAGTTTTTCCCTTTCTTCTTTTGTCATCTTTTCTAAGAATTCTCGGACATTAAATTGCGGCTTCTTTTTTTGTGCGTCTTTGCACTCGAAGCTTCTATGTCCCTTCTCTCCGCATCGGTAACATCGTCCCTCGGTGCAGAACTTCGCTTTATCCACCTCCATTTGTTCTCCGTTACCGGTATAAGTATACCCGGTTCTGTCTTTTTTCTTCTCTCCTTCTTTCTTTTGTTCCGAATAGGATTTCTTTCCGTTTTCGGAACCTTTCTTCTCTTTTTCTCTTTCTCTCCAAATATAGTCCATTCTGATGAGTTCTCTTTTCCACTCTTGGTAATCTCTAGGAATATGCCCACCGTAGATTACCCTATCTACTAGCGGTTTATTCATATTTCTTCTGAGTAGAGATATTAGGAACTCTTCATTTATCCTATTTGTGTATCCCGCCCATCTTTTCTTTTCTTCAAACCTTTCAAAAAAGGCTTGGGCGGTTTCATTGCCCTGTTTTAGGGTCAATATTTCATTCTTGGCAGCTTCTTTTTCAAAGCTGTCTTTGAATCTTTCTTCCATTTTGTCTGCGAAATACGGCCAGCTTCCGTATGTGTTTGTGATGTTGAGCCCCATTTGTTGAGTGTCGACCCGGTTCTCTAGCCAGTCGGTCCGAAAGGCCGCGGCTTCTCCTTCTTTCATAAAAGATAGCACGAAGCTTATCTTTTTTCTATCGTCTTTGAAGTAGATGGCATCATCTTCGAAATGTAGAAGTAAGGACTCTCTAAAGGCCCTGTACTTTTTCTTATCTCCGGAGAAGTTTTCTGGCTTCTCCAATGCCGTTCTACTTCTCTCCGTTCTTTCTGGAGGTGGCGGCTGTTGCTTCTTTAACTTTCTTTCTAAGACGCTCACTTCTTCGAGTGCCTTGTCTAATTGCGATTGGTAAAGCATCTGTGTTGCTCTTACTGCTTTTTCCACTTCTTGTTTTACGAATGCTTCCAATTGCGCTTCTTTCGGGGGGGGAGTTTCTATTCTGGGTAATGAGTCCATCATTTCCCTGGTGAAGGCGCTGTCTATGCTGTTGGATGGCTCGGGCAGATCTCGATATTCTAGGTTTGACATTGAATTTGAGTTGGGGAGGAGGGGGAGTTTCGGATTTAATCACGGGGGATGGGATTCTGATTGTTGTTATTTCTGGTAGAGGAAATTGTCCTCTGAATACGTAATCTTGGGAGTAGACGCGTTGCTCTCCTATCCAAATGTATAATTCTCTACTAAGCATAGAAAGGAGTTCACCAGTGGTAAGCTGGATCGATACACCGCTTTCTAAGATCTTAGTAGTCTATCTTTTCTCTTTGAGTCAAGGTGGTCCTCTTCTGTCCACCACTGACTATGTATGTAAGGTAACTATTTTTGTGTTTTATGAATTTTATGTAAAAGGTATCGTAATAAATTGGGGTCCGAACGGTTGTCCCAATGTAACCCGCTTATTAAGCTGTCAGTTCTTCTCCCGACTGGCGGACGCAAATGCGCGGCCTGGTCAGAGGAATTCGAATGGTGAAACTACGTAAAACCGAGAAAATCCCAGTGGTTCCACACCAAAGAGATTATGATGATATAAAAGTGTAACTAGAGGGGGATGGTGACAAAAGAGTCTTGGGAGGATGAGGGTGATACGTTGGCGGGAAAGAAGGATAAAATGGTGTTGGGGCGAGTGGGGATGTGATGAAGTGGGAGGGTAGTGGTAGTTTGGATTGAACGTTTGAGTAGGGTTAGGATGAGGAAGATGATGATGATGATGACGGTGATGGTGGTTAGGATTGTTGCTGTTACGTTCATGGATGGTACTCGTGGTAGTTGTTGATTGTGTAAAAGCCTTATCCCTTATACCGAACTAACGGAGGGATGAAGACCTTAAATCGACAAGTAGCGTCACAAGTAATCGATTGAGAAGTAATCAACAACTAAGGAAAATATGTACATGGGTGTTCACTATATATACGTTTCTGAAAGTCAGCCATGAGGCGCTGACTGATGTTCTTTGTAATAGTTCTAGGCTCTTTGTCACGTGATGGTCACGTGATCTGATATAACTAAGTATTATGTTATCCGTGCTAATAGCAGCAGCTTAACATATTGTATCTGTCATGTGATTAGATTTTAAAGAAAATGAAAAAGAAACTAGCGCTCTTGTTCAGGTCGTGACAGGCAACCCAAGCAAGAAGTGAGATTAGAAAAGATGGCCCTAGCCAAGCTGGAACACTATGATGGGGACAAAAAGAAATTTTGCGGATTTATGGAGTTGTTAGAACTTCATTTTGGGGCAAACACCCGATATTTCAGGTCAGACGAAAACAAGATCATGTTTGCCTTGTCATACATGACTTTGGGAGCGGCGGCAGCTCTTAGGACAGAATGGGTGGAGAGGAGGAAGGCTGCAGAAGAGAGATCTGACATAGGGGAGATGACCCTTTAAAAAAGTTGGGGGTACTTCGAAAACACCCTCAAAGAACACTTCAAAGACTCGCACAAGGAGGAGCGAGCAAAACATAAGATCATGTATCAGAAGCAGGAGAAGAACCAGACGGTGTCGATGATGAGAACTGCTGTTAGAAAATCACACACAAAAACAAACTAACACACAATCCTCCCAGATTCCACGGGACTTGTTTATGGGCTTTGCCTCCTAGAACAATGGAGTGGTCTGGTTGTTCGTGGGGTGGTACGTATAAAGATCCTTCAAAGTAAAACCCAGAGGTGTATGAGTGTGGGTTTTGAGGAGGAGGGATAGTTGAATTTATAGAAAGATAGGGGGTTTGTGGCGAGTATAGACGAGCACTACCTTGCTAATCGTAGCACAAGGTAGGTTTGAGAACAACGAGGATGACGAGGTGACGAGGTTCCCAGTGATAGCAGGCTCCTGACGCACAAACTGTAGTGCTCAGAAGGACTCTAATCGAAGGGGATGACAATCACTTTTCAAAGTGACGAGTGACGATGACAGCAGTTAATAGTGGTAGAAGTGGGAAGTGTTGTGACCACACTGGATCACAAGTAGCAGTAAGAAGTGGACTTAAGATTAGAGAAGAAGTCTGGAATCGAGTTCTTGTTGTTTTTTTACAAGGTAAAATACAGGGGTTTATATAGTAAAAGAAAAGTAGGCTATGCACAGTATAGCTGTGCAAAAAGAATGAGAAAGAATATGAAGGAAGGAATGTACGCTGACGAATCCTGCGTAGGTAGTACAGGATAAGATTGTCAAAAAAAGGAAAAGAAAGGGATAGAACAATAAATGCTGTGAGTAATGTCACAGGTTTGTACAGCCATAAAGTAAAGTCCAATAGCAAAAGGAGAGCAGGAAAATCATGATGTCATGGGAAGATGCAGTAAAAAAAAAGGGCAAGGCAAAACACTATCAGTATCAACACAGTTCCTTTATTGTCAGTCAGGCATTCTAAAAAAATATGTGTCCATAAAAATGATTCAAAAATCAAAAATAATCGCACTGTAAATGAATGTTCTGCTGAAGAAAAAGAAACTGGAGCCACCGGTCCACCACCTAGTCCAAATCTGACAGTTCCATGGCCTTACCAATGGACTGGTTGTGTTGGACCACCTGATCAAACGAGGGAGGGAAAGGAGTAGTTCCAATTTGGAACAAGTGAGTCCCAGGCAGCGTGTGGTAGGTGTAGCTGTAGCGAAGACGATGGACAAATGATAAGTGTACCCAAGTGAATGGGACAGCAATGAACATGGGCGACGCAAGGGGATGAACCTTCTCCAGCTCAAAAACTACCCACCCACGCTCCAACCAGGCAAGACGAGCGACCGATGTTTTGATAGTATATGATGGCAGATCGACGTCATGAAGATGGACCTGTTGCCCTATTTGGACCGGCCGCCGGGGCTTTGCTGATATCAGCAGTGGCACGTGGTAGTCAACGGATCAGCGACGGAAGCGGATAGGAAGTGGTGACATCAGAAATGGTGGGGGTGCAAATAAGATGAGGAGGAGGAGGCTGGAGGTGACAAAGAGGTGGATTAGAATGGGGATCCAGAAACGACCGTCAGGTGAGAATAAAAAGGAGAAGAAGGGGCCCATGGTGGGGCTAGGCAAAGGAAGGGGAGTAAGGGAAACGACAAAAGCGAGGGCGCAATGCAATGTGTAGCCAGTGGCGACGCGAAAATTTGCCGAAATGCCGAAATGCCGAAAGTACCGAATGGAAAAGCAAAGGTGAGCGTGACTGGATTGCCTAATAGAGGTGGTGCTGATCAGCCACAAGTTCAAAAAGGGCAATATTAATTACTATTCCACGTGGCACTGTGCCTGTGTGGTGCAAAGGCGAGTCTTTTTGAATATTCGCTTCGTTATTGACACCTGTCCATGCTACCAATCAACTTTGGTGCATGACAGCGTTTATTAGTATGTCCAGGCTGTACTGGGGCTTGGAGCTGGTTGGCGAGATGCCTACTACCAGTCCCTACTCCTTGTACTGGCTAGCTGGGAGCGATACCCAGTCTCTGATCTGTGATATAAAATGGTAGCGGTGGTTAAGAAAGCCTGTGAGGGCTATGAGAAGTAAAACGGCGAATGATACTTCTAGCCCTAGAGCCAAAGGTGTAATGGGAAAGGCGTTCGAGAACCAAGACATAGCGAAGATAGGAAAATAATAAAATGGTCCTTACACTTGGAGTAAATGACATTCAAGTAATCATTACTCCCACTCAGGGCCTACAGAACACCAAGTCCCTTTAGAAAGCCAGAATACCTGCCATCGCCATTCACTCGGAGACAGCAACACCAGTGAATTTTCGGATAAGCACTGTATTTCTTGATTGAGAATATGTCACAACAATTAGTTAATCACATAGGCAATTGCAAATCTTGTATATTGTGCCATAATTAGGAACAAGCCATGAAGTCGGGAGGAGAATTTGAGAAGCTGTTGAGACAGCCGTTATTCCATAGCCGTATAATATCAATCATGTTTGTGTGAGGAATCAATTTTTCTTATTGCATTCCCATCATGTTGTGGTTGTCCGATTCATTCCCTGTCACTCCTCTTGCTCTTGGACTAGAAATCACGGTCGGCATTCTGTTACTCTTATCCTTTTTCTTTTTCTTTTCCATTCATACTCACGTCCTATTGTATTTACAACAAAGAAGAACGGTTGTAGACCCTCAAGAAGATATCCAGATGACATAGCAATGATCCAACACTGTGTCTGGGAATACTTTGGAGGAATATTGATAAGCAAGACAGGCTATGAATCAGCGCCTTCTCATGGGCTTACTGATACAGTCTATTGTACACCTCTTACCAATACTCTCTCTCACGCGATTAGTAAATATAGATCGGACCACTTTCTCTCTCTTTTCTTATTGGTTAGTTAGTTGGTCAGACCACTTTCTTAACTCTTCCTTCTTTCGGTCTGACCGTCACTGTTCACTATATAAGGAAGTACATACTCGATGTATTATTCCTTAGTTCAATATTAGTTTGGATTCTTGCTTATACCAATACTCTTCAACCTCAGTACTCTGATTCACCGCCCTCTTCGGGGACTTGACCAGACATCCGTTGTTGTTATATTGTTACAATTGACATACCAGCACCTACTTACACTTCACTTTTTTGTACTTTTACTTTTACTTTTTCCAAGTCACATGACCAATCATGTGACCATTAACTTTACTTTACATTTTTGAACTTTTCATATTCACATGACCAATCATGTGACACAACACCTGACCAATATCTAGACTCATCATGTGACCGGTCACATGCTAAACATTGGACTTTAAACTCTATTTAAAACTGTACAGTACCTCATGTATTTTAGCACAACAAACCCGTTGAAACCTAAGAGGTGATCCCTTTCTCTCTTCTCTTTGCTTGTCCAAGTTGTGCGCCAGAGTAAGAAACTCTTGGTCGTAACATATATAGCTTCATATTTGTTGCCTGACAGAATATTGAACTCACCTTCGAATCCTTTTCAGAGCAACCCTTTAGAAGACCATCTCGCTATACCTTAAAAAGACTGTTGTTGCCTTTGCACTGGTCTAAGCCCTCATTGTCACCTTCTTTGTACCTCTATCATCCCTATCCCTCTCCTCACCCTCGCCATTGACCTCTTACTATCCATACCACCACACCTATCACCGTCCAGTCCCCTCAAACTGGACATCTCATCTACCATCACCACTCTCGTCCAATTCCTTGCACTCTTTGCCATCATCCGATATCTTCAGACTAAGCTCATCAGTGACATTGTTTACCTTCATCGTGTCTATATCCCAACAGCACTCAGAAGAGTGGGTGTCAGAAGCGGACCGCAGACACCAGAGAGACTTCCTCGCAGCGCTCAACAAGCCGCTCCCGGTCCTCCCGGTCCCTACCGAAGCCCGTATCCCAGACACGGAAGAAACAGTCGAGCAGATCACTGAGCTTTATCAAAACTTCTCTGCTTTGTCTTCTCTGATCGATCCAATTGAGGAAATTATCCTTGACATACATAATGCTCTCGCTCTCACCCAATCTATATTTTACCATTCTGCCATCTGTAGGAGAAATTCTAGGAGCCTCAAGGAGGTACTCCAACGTCTCAGATAAGGCACAGAGAGAACTTTTAATCTTCATATTCCTGCAGCACGGACAAATTCCGTTGAGCGACTACTTCAAGAGTCTAATACACCCGAGTTACAAGAACACTCAGAGGGTTAAACTTTTGAAAGGAGCAGTTAACGTACAGGAACAAAATTTGCATCTCATTTCACAAGACTATATTCCCTCCCTCCTTGAACTTTATTGTATTCGCCCTCTTTCATTCCCTAGCATACCCAGTTGACTCCTCCCCTACGATTTTGAACACACCTTGCTGTGCGGTATTATTCCAAGGAAGAGGCCCAATGAAGAACCCACCTGTTACAACCAAGAGTTAGTTACTCTGGCACACACAAGAACACACTATAAAGATAGTGATGAGGGAGTGGTTACCCCTTAAGCTGCAGAGAGTTTGTTGGTATACAACAGGAGGACTCGCTGAGGAGTCTCTTTGATCTATTGGGGTATTTATACTAATACAGAGTGTTTGTACCTATGTACTGTACAGTTGATAAAAGCAGTGGCTGATGATGTCAGAGGGCACAGCCCGTGTGATCAGCTCCACTGCGTGTAACAACCAAGAGTTATTTACTCTGGCGCACACAGGAACACACTATAAAGAAGATGATGGGGAGTGGTTACCCCTTAGGCTGCAGTGAGTTAGTTGTGCTAGACAACAGGAGGACTTGCTGAGTCCTTCCCCATGTATTGCTCTTGTATATATACTAAAATACATGAGGTACTGTACAGTTGTAAATAAAGTTCAAAGTCCGATGTCTAGCATGTGACTGGTCACATGATGAGTCTAGACACTGGTCAGGTGATGTGTCACATGACTGGTCATGTGACTATAAAAAGTCGAAAATGTAAAGTAAAGTAAATGGTCACATGACTGGTCATGTGACTTGGAAAATAAAAGTAGAAGTACAAAAGTGAAGCGTAAGTAGGTGCTGGTATGTTAATTGTAACACTGCGTGAGAAACTTTGTGTCTAAAAGAAGAATAAAGGCAGTGTCGCGTGAGAAAGTGGAGTTAGAACAAAAAGGAAAGTGCTGCATGGCACGGAGTGTGAACTATAGTAAAAGGTTAAAGCGGAGAATGAAAATTAAAGGAAAGGTCCAAAAATTGTGTTATCGTGACACCACCTACGACATCCCTTCTTTGTTTTTTACCAAAGACTACTATGACATCTACTCCGCCTCTCCAGTCCATTATCAACCCATCCAGTACTTTTGTATCAGCAACCACCTTGACAATCTTTCTATTATCAATTACTTGATATGACTCCGTTATACTCTCTACCTCCCCCAAGTCAAAGATCTTGACATATTCAGACCACATTTTGGTCTTCAACATAGTACCTCTATTGTCATTGTTACGCCTTCTACCAAAGATCATATTTGACGAGTTGTTGCTGGATTAGCTCGATTTGATCAGCTTATCGCAACCGCACAGAGGAAAATTTGTGATGGAGAAGACTACACCGCAGAGATAGACAACATCCAATACGTCTCCGAATACGTCGAGAAGTATTACTGGATCTTAGAAATTCTCACACCGTTCGTCGTTAATCAGCAATCAGACTACCCCGAACACTTCATCGTTACGGTTATCTAAAGTGTGACAACACCAACAAGACACAGTCTTGGGGCACTGGAGCACAACAAAAATAACACTCAGAAGAAGAGGAAGAGGTGGGAGTGGTTACCCATTTGGATTCAACAAGTTAGTTGTTGGTAGACAACAGGAGGACTCGCTGAGTCCTTCCCCTGTATTGCTCCTGTATATATACTAAAATACATGAGGTACTGTACAGTTGTAAATAAAGTTTAAAGTCTGATGTCTAACATGTGACTGGTTGCATGATGAGTCTAGACATTGGTCAGGTGTTGTGTCACATGACTGGTCATGTGACTTGGAAAAATAAAAGTAAAAGTGCGAAAAAAGTGAAGCGTAAGTAGGTACTGGTACGTCAATTGTAACACAAAGCGACTTCTGGGCCGTTGTTAATCACAGTCCACAAACTTGTATCTACTCGCAATACTTGTACACCTACCAAGGTTGAAGAGGAGAGACACTGCTCATCCCGTCAGTTGAGCAACTTTTTGCACCTTGCGCGGAAAGAATCAAATTAGAAACGGGAAGCTTGTTGGAAAATATAGTTGGAGGCGGATCAGACGAAGAGACAGAGTCGGAAAGTGAAGGGTCTACTGGACATATAGAGTATTGGAGACCTCAAGAAGCAGAAGGAGGAGATTTTCCCAGTAACTTTGTATTTGACCCGGACTTTAACTAAAAGACTCATTATCTAAGACTTGTTATCTAAGACTTGTTATCTAACTCGTTAACACTGGAGCCTTATTGAGAACCCTGTCCTCTTGTCACTCCCGGAACACCCCCCCCCCCCCCCCCCACAATCTCTAGAAGCTGCCGCTGAAGCCCTGAAACCTGACAATCTATATCAATCCGCCGGACCGGAAGACTTTCCTCCCCCATCTCAGAATCCATTACCTAAAAACCAACCTGACGATTAGTTTGATCAAGAGTCTCTGGCAAGTTTCACACCCTGTTACGTACTCTGGGATGTCTTTATCCATGTACGGTATCATGCACCAAAGTTGATTGGTAGCATGGACAGGTGTCAATAACGAAGCGAATATTCAAAAAGACTCGCCTTTGCACCACACAGGCACAGTGCCACGTGGAATAGTAATTAATATTGCCCTTTTTGAACTTGTGGCTGATCAGCACCACCTCTATTAGGCAATCCAGTCACGCTCACCTTTGCTTTTCCATTCGGTACTTTCGGCATTTCGGCATTTCGGCAAATTTTCGCGTCGCCACTGGCTACACATTGCATTGCGCCCTCGCTTTTGTCGTTTCCCTTACTCCCCTTCCTTTGCCTAGCCCCACCATGGGCCCCTTCTTCTCCTTTTTATTCTCACCTGACGGTCGTTTCTGGATCCCCATTCTAATCCACCTCTTTGTCACCTCCAGCCTCCTCCTCCTCATCTTATTTGCACCCCCACCATTTCTGATGTCACCACTTCCTATCCGCTTCCGTCGCTGATCCGTTGACTACCACGTGCCACTGCTGATATCAGCAAAGCCCCGGCGGCCGGTCCAAATAGGGCAACAGGTCCATCTTCATGACGTCGATCTGCCATCATATACTATCAAAACATCGGTCGCTCGTCTTGCCTGGTTGGAGCGTGGGTGGGTAGTTTTTGAGCTGGAGAAGGTTCATCCCCTTGCGTCGCCCATGTTCATTGCTGTCCCATTCACTTGGGTACACTTATCATTTGTCCATCGTCTTCGCTACAGCTACACCTACCACACGCTGCCTGGGACTCACTTGTTCCAAATTGGAACTACTCCTTTCCCTCCCTCGTTTGATCAGGTGGTCCAACACAACCAGTCCATTGGTAAGGCCATGGAACTGTCAGATTTGGACTAGGTGGTGGACCGGTGGCTCCAGTTTCTTTTTCTTCAGCAGAACATTCATTTACAGTGCGATTATTTTTGATTTTTGAATCATTTTTATGGACACATATTTTTTTAGAATGCCTGACTGACAATAAAGGAACTGTGTTGATACTGATAGTGTTTTGCCTTGCCCTTTTTTTTTACTGCATCTTCCCATGACATCATGATTTTCCTGCTCTCCTTTTGCTATTGGACTTTACTTTATGGCTGTACAAACCTGTGACATTACTCACAGCATTTATTGTTCTATCCCTTTCTTTTCCTTTTTTTGACAATCTTATCCTGTACTACCTACGCAGGATTCGTCAGCGTACATTCCTTCCTTCATATTCTTTCTCATTCTTTTTGCACAGCTATACTGTGCATAGCCTACTTTTCTTTTACTATATAAACCCCTGTATTTTACCTTGTAAAAAAACAACAAGAACTCGATTCCAGACTTCTTCTCTAATCTTAAGTCCACTTCTTACTGCTACTTGTGATCCAGTGTGGTCACAACACTTCCCACTTCTACCACTATTAACTGCTGTCATCGTCACTCGTCACTTTGAAAAGTGATTGTCATCCCCTTCGATTAGAGTCCTTCTGAGCACTACAGTTTGTGCGTCAGGAGCCTGCTATCACTGGGAACCTCGTCACCTCGTCATCCTCGTTGTTCTCAAACCTACCTTGTGCTACGATTAGCAAGGTAGTGCTCGTCTATACTCGCCACAAACCCCCTATCTTTCTATAAATTCAACTATCCCTCCTCCTCAAAACCCACACTCATACACCTCTGGGTTTTACTTTGAAGGATCTTTATACGTACCACCCCACGAACAACCAGACCACTCCATTGTTCTAGGAGGCAAAGCCCATAAACAAGTCCCGTGGAATCTGGGAGGATTGTGTGTTAGTTTGTTTTTGTGTGTGATTTTCTAACAGCAGTTCTCATCATCGACACCGTCTGGTTCTTCTCCTGCTTCTGATACATGATCTTATGTTTTGCTCGCTCCTCCTTGTGCGAGTCTTTGAAGTGTTCTTTGAGGGTGTTTTCGAAGTACCCCCAACTTTTTTAAAGGGTCATCTCCCCTATGTCAGATCTCTCTTCTGCAGCCTTCCTCCTCTCCACCCATTCTGTCCTAAGAGCTGCCGCCGCTCCCAAAGTCATGTATGACAAGGCAAACATGATCTTGTTTTCGTCTGACCTGAAATATCGGGTGTTTGCCCCAAAATGAAGTTCTAACAACTCCATAAATCCGCAAAATTTCTTTTTGTCCCCATCATAGTGTTCCAGCTTGGCTAGGGCCATCTTTTCTAATCTCACTTCTTGCTTGGGTTGCCTGTCACGACCTGAACAAGAGCGCTAGTTTCTTTTTCATTTTCTTTAAAATCTAATCACATGACAGATACAATATGTTAAGCTGCTGCTATTAGCACGGATAACATAATACTTAGTTATATCAGATCACGTGACCATCACGTGACAAAGAGCCTAGAACTATTACAAAGAACATCAGTCAGCGCCTCATGGCTGACTTTCAGAAACGTATATATAGTGAACACCCATGTACATATTTTCCTTAGTTGTTGATTACTTCTCAATCGATTACTTGTGACGCTACTTGTCGATTTAAGGTCTTCATCCCTCCGTTAGTTCGGTATAAGGGATAAGGCTTTTACACAATCAACAACTACCACGAGTACCATCCATGAACGTAACAGCAACAATCCTAACCACCATCACCGTCATCATCATCATCATCTTCCTCATCCTAACCCTACTCAAACGTTCAATCCAAACTACCACTACCCTCCCACTTCATCACATCCCCACTCGCCCCAACACCATTTTATCCTTCTTTCCCGCCAACGTATCACCCTCATCCTCCCAAGACTCTTTTGTCACCATCCCCCTCTAGTTACACTTTTATATCATCATAATCTCTTTGGTGTGGAACCACTGGGATTTTCTCGGTTTTACGTAGTTTCACCATTCGAATTCCTCTGACCAGGCCGCGCATTTGCGTCCGCCAGTCGGGAGAAGAACTGACAGCTTAATAAGCGGGTTACATTGGGACAACCGTTCGGACCCCAATTTATTACGATACCTTTTACATAAAATTCATAAAACACAAAAATAGTTACCTTACATACATAGTCAGTGGTGGACAGAAGAGGACCACCTTGACTCAAAGAGAAAAGATAGACTACTAAGATCTTAGAAAGCGGTGTATCGATCCAGCTTACCACTGGTGAACTCCTTTCTATGCTTAGTAGAGAATTATACATTTGGATAGGAGAGCAACGCGTCTACTCCCAAGATTACGTATTCATCACCGTTCTTCTTCATCAAAAAGAAAGATGGAAAACTTAGACCTGTCCAAGACTACCGGAGATTGAATGATATCACCATCAAGAATAGATACCCGCTACCTCTGATAAATGAACTTGTAGACAAGCTCAGAGGCGCGAAATACTTTACGAAGTTAGATATCAGATGGGGGTACAACAATATCCGTATCAAGGATGGAGATGAACACAAAGCAGCCTTCAGAATGAATAGGGGGCTCTTTGAACCATTAGTGATGTTCTTTGGACTCACGAATTCACCAGCAACATTTCAAACGATGATGAATGCGCTGTTTAAAGATTTGATTGATGACGGAAAGGTAGTAATATACCTCGACGACATCATGATCTTCACAAGAACGATTGAAGAACACCGCGCAATGACGCGCAGAGTGTTAGATATCTTAAGGAAGAACAACCTTTACTTGAAACCCGAAAAATGCGATTTCGAAGAGACCTCGACAGAGTACTTAGGTCTCATCATCTCAGAAAATGAAATCCGCATGGATCCAGTTAAAGTAAAAGGAATTATGGAATGGCCAGAATGCAAATCCAAAAAGGAAGTACAAGCATTCTTGGGTTTCGTAAACTTCTATAGAAGATTCATCGAAGGCTTTGGGTTGATCGCCAAGCCGTTAACAAAATTGACCGGGAAAGTAGAGTTCGTGTGGGAACAGGAACAGATTGACGCCTTTAACGGATTAAAAACCCGTGTCGGATCGACTCCCGTACTCGCCTTACCTACCGATGACGGACAATTTAAAATTGAAGCTGATAGCAGCGATTACGCGATGGGAGCAGTTCTATCACAGATGCAAGATGGGAAATGGAAACCTATTGCATATCTCTCAAAAGCGCTAACACCCACAGAGCGCAACTACGAGATCTATGATAAAGAACTCCTGGCCATAATGACTGCGTTAGACGAGTGGAGACATTATCTTATTGATGCAAAAGAGGTGTTTGAGATCTGGACAGACCACCAGAATCTCCTATATTACAAACAACCTCAAAAGCTCAATAGACGACAAGCTAGATGGGTTATGGAATTGAGCAACTATCACTTTACGCTCCACCACATTCCAGGTACAAAACACATCAAAGCAGACCTTCTCTCGAGACGAGCAGATCATGAAAGGGGGGTGGATGACAATGAAGACGTAATCGTTCTAAAAGCAGAACATTTCCGTATGATGATTTCACACACTGAAAGACAACGCATGGCAGAGCAATCAGCCGATGCAGTGGAATTGTACAAATGGATTTGCAAAAGAATGATGAACGTAGATGAAATAGCGCGGAAGATGATAGAGAAAGGAGAAGATAGAGAGAAAGGAATTTGGATGGAGGATGAGATGTTGATCTTCAAAGGAAGGATCTATATTCCCAAAGACGGGAAATTACGAGAACATATCATTAAAGAAAACCATGATTCCACGGTAGCAGGACACCCCGGACAGTATAAAACCAAAGAACTGGTAACTAGATGGTATTGGTGGCCGTACATGGACAGAGATATCCGGAAGTACGTAGAAGGCTGTGAAACGTGTCAACGCACTAAGATTAACCATCAAAAGAAAGCGGCACCGTTACACCCAAATGAAATCCCAACCAGACCATGGGAAATCATTACCACAGACCTAATCGGACCATTGCCGGAATCTCTCGGTTATAACATGATACTCGTAGTAGTAGATCGATTCTCGAAGATGATAAAAGTCATGCCGACTTATGACAAAGTGACGTCAGAAGGAGTAGCCAGATTATTTAGAGACAATGTCTTTAGAAATCACGGCATACCAGAGAAGATCATCTCAGATAGGGGACCGCAATACGTCTCCAATTTCATGAAAGATCTCTACAAACTCCTTGGGATAAAAGGAAATCCCTCGACCGCTTATCACCCCCAGACAGACGGACAAACGGAATGAATTAACCAAGAGATAGAACAGTATCTCAGAATATTTGTAAACCATAAACAAACGGATTGGGCAGAATGGCTACCATTAGCGGAATTTTCGTACAATAACAAATCACACTCCGCAACTGGTTATAGCCCCTTCTTCCTAAATTCCGGACAACATCCGAAAGTCGCGAAGGGAATTAGAAGCACGGTGAAGACGGAAAGTGCGGAAGAGTTTGTAAAGAGGATGGAAGAGACAAGGAAAGAAGCAGAAAAATCGCTGGTAAAAGCAGCAGAAAACATGAAAAAACAGTACGATAAAGGGAAAAGAGAGGCTATCGTTTACAAAGAAGGCGACAAGGTATATGTTGAAGCAGAACATATTACTACCGATAGACCTGCAAAAAAACTCGACGATAAAAGACACGGACCCTTTTCCATCAAAAAGAAAATAGGCGAAGGGGCCTATAAGCTGAAACTTCCCGGACGATGGAAGAACATACATCCAGTTTTTAACGAGAAACTGCTAACACCATTCAGAGAACCAGAATTCGAAACACAGAAAAAACCAAAAACCGCACCACCGGTGATAGTGGACGGAATTAAAGAATACGAGGTAGAAGAGGTTCTAGACTCACGATTGAAACGTGGGAAACTAGAATACTTAGTACATTGGAAAGACTTTCCTAAAGAGGATCGCACATGGGAAACCGAGTCAAACCTGAAACATTCATCGAAACTCGTAAAACAGTTTCATAACAAAAACCCTAGTGCACCTCGAAGGATAGAATTTACTTTAAACTATCAACCCTTCGAAAACTTTACTATTCCAACTAGAATTCGAAAATCACTATACAATTGGGAAACGGGCAGACTAGACTCTCACTTTTGGGACGAAAGTCCTAAGGAGGGGGTAATGTCACGATCGTACCCATCTGACTCAGCTTTCTTATCTAATCGAGAGATAGAGACTCTTGTTTCACCTTATCTAATCTCTCTCTGATCTAATTTTATCAAGTATCACGTGATCTATTAGTAATACACATTACTAATCAGCCTCACTACATACACATGTTAATTACCAATACGCTACGTCATACCTCACCGTAGCCTCATGCTCTTTCCTATATAACTAGCACAATATCCATGTACATACCCCAGTTGTAGATTTACTCTTTTATACTTGCTTGTCGAACACTTGTTGAGATTTAAGTCCTACGCTGCTCGGGTCACCGGCATACAGCTAGGGTCTTTACAGTTATTCTCTCTTTTTCTTATTGGCCGATTAATTCCTCAGACCACTTTTTGTTTATTCTCTTTTCGGTCTGAGGAACAAACAGTTCACTATATAAAGCCTTACCTATTCATGTATGGTTCCTTAGTTTTCTATTACTGAATTTACCCGCTTTACTCCTCAACAAGAACCTTTGAAGCTTACCTCTGAAAGTCCTCTACTCACTATATTTACTAATGTCTGTCGACCTCAAGCTCATTGAACCCCTTACTCCCTGCAAGTGCAGAAGGAGACAGGTTTCGTTTTTGTTATAGTTTATCGTTGCCTCACACCAAGCAGCAATGGTATCATGAAAGCAAGGGTCTTGCCAAGGCCTGCACCTGCGTTCAAGATAACATCTTTATTGCCTTTGGCAAGCATCTGGCCCACCTTGACCTGCCATAGACATGGGTATGTCCCTAGCTTCTCCTGCGTGATCCTTCAAACGTCAGAAACGGATATCACATCCGTCTCTGCCTGCATCCTTAATAGGGTGATTCGAAGCCACTGCACGGTTAGAATGGCACTGTATTTCTCCAAAAAAAGACCAAGTCAATAAGATATTTTCACATATTTTAAGGTCCGACACTGGTGAATGTCACTGTCACTGTGGCGAGCATTTGTTTATAAATGTTAATTTGCAGCTGCTGTGGAGAGAGAGCGAGGAATAAAGTTGTGCTGACTTTGAGATTATCATAATCATGTGACTATCTATTAATAAGCCTTGTCCTGAACTCTCTACACCCACCGGGGCATGAAAGAT